CCTGCAGAAACCAAACATTGAATCAACAACATTTTCTACACATCTAAAACCTATAGACAACAAATTATTGAATTCTAGCTACTTAACCAAACATTTTCAAACCAAAAAGAGTATATATGTTTAACAACACTTGCATTTGAATTACAAATTGTTTATGGACACTTTCATAATGCGGATGCAAGTAGGCAGCGTCTCGCATATATCGTTCTAGCCATAAAATGCCGAAACCACAAGCCTACTGCACCTCTATCTCTATCGGTGGGAGGTAGAAACTGTGTACTTCCTGTCATCAAACGCTCCAAGCACATGCATACGAGAGGACCACAATCACCTCTGGCTTCCTTCGTTTGTTGTGGCGCGGTCTCGTCTCTGATAACTGTAACATTGAACTTCTTTGGCTTCTTGTTTCCAGAATTAGTCCAATAATTAATTGCATCCAAGAATTTAGCCAAATAAGAGCTCCATCCCTTAATAATATCTCTCAAATCAGACAATGATATGTAATTTATCATGCTGTCATATACTATTGTCTTTAGGGATGAGAGCTGAAGCTCGACGAGAAGCCAATGAGTACGTTCCAAAACATGGATAAACACCTGCATCGAAATGTAATAATTCAAATTGCGCACTTATTTATGAACACCTTTAAAATATTTAAACAAATAAATACTAACCTTATCGACCTCCCACCATGCAGGATAAAGTTTAGCTTATCCATTAGCCAACACATATGATTCCTGTCGTTGATTCTTCAAGTGAACTACGTGAAAAAACGTCGACATAATTATATATCGCGTTTTTTTTATATTTTTCTTCAATTTCCTTACAATTAGAAGACGTGTCACCCATGCATCAATATGATGTTTTACAAAAAAAGACATATATTAGTGAATTACATAAATTTTAAAAAAAATTAATCAAACTAAAATATAAGAAGAAATATAAGACTTACCCACCATCGAAATAGCCGTTGTCTTCAACCCCTAATAATACACCCCACCAAGACCGTTCAATCAACAAATGCATATCATCGTTGAGTTTGTATATGTCAGCGTAACACCCTTGGCTCCGCTCATGTAGATAAAAATCAACTGCGGTCTTAGCCCAAAAGGTATTATCCAGAATTGTTTCCGGTAGTTGTTTCCTCTCCACTTCATCTGCCGGAATAGTACTGGCCGGTAACTTATACGAAAGCCAACAGTCATCCATCATGTCCGGCACGTGAGGGGGCTTCTCAATAATTCGATATATTACGCCGTGTGAATCGGGCTCTAGAATGTTGGGAAGGACCTCTTCAACGATGACAGTGACCTCTTGAACGGTGGGAGTGGACTCTTGAGGGATGATAGGGGCCTCTTGAACGATGACAGGTGAGTCGGGCTTACGGATTCTTTGCACTATTGGGGTGAACGGAGACGTAATAGCACGTGCACGCCGTCTGATGCGTGAACTCCGTCTTACAAGAAAAACCCGACGTAGAGCATCCACCTTAGCGGGCCGCTAAAAATAAATTAATACATAAATCAGTAAATAAACAGACATGATATTAAACAGTGAAAACAAAGACAAATATATTTCAAACTTGCACGGTATTCACCCAAGTCATTATTATATCATTGTTCACAAAATGCATCAGATAACATTCCAGAAGTAAGCACTTATATAAACATTTAAAAGGACAACATATAGGTTTAGTGCAGGTTCAATGACAACATAAAGAGTAGTAGTTTATTCTTGAAACTTAAATTTTCAACACTGTGAAGTTAGTATTTGTCTTTTGGTTGAAGTAATGCAATTCATTCAAGTTTCAATTTGCAGAAGAAGAATAGAATCTGAAACTTAAAATCGCAACGCGAAAATGACTATCGCAACGCGAAAATGACTATCGCAACGAGAGAATCGCAATGCGATTTTCATTTCGCATTGCGATTCTTTCGTTGCGATAGTCAAATTCGCATTGCGATAGTCATTTTCGCGTTGCGATTTTGTTGTTGCGATTTTCATTTCGCATTGCGATTCTCTCGTTGAGATAGTCATTTTCGCGTTGCGATAGTCATTTTCGCATTGCGATAGTAAACTATTCTTCTTCTGCAAATTGAAACTTGAATAGATTTCATTACTTCAACCAAAAGACAACAAAAAACAAATATTAACTTCACAGGGTTAAAGAATAAACAGTTAAACAGTATTGGCAGCAATCGAATGAATTTACTAAGCAATCTAAGTGAAATTACGAGTAAATTTATCATCAAGTTAAATATGAAAAATATTAAACTTACCTCGTTGCATAGAGTATGAACCTCGTTCTGCAACGATGCTATAATCTCACGTAGAGCTGCTACCTCACCACGTAAAGTAGACACCTCAACACGCCATACACCATTGTCATCGCGTAAAGTACCGACCTCCTCACTCAAGGCATTGACCTCATTACGTAACTCTCCTAACTCATCCCGTGGAGGTGGAGGTTGAGGTGGAGAACAGGGAGATAAACGTCGTGGCATCTTTGTCGGTCGCCTATTATGAGGTGATGGTGGAGAAGAGGCTCGATGATGTGACAGAATAGGTGATGACTCTCGTTATGGAGGTGTATATTCGGGTCGATCAGGTGATGGCTCTCGAAGTGGTGGTCAGCCTCCGTGGGTGTCAGCCTCTGTAATGGAGTGTTGGCCTCCTAACAATATAAAAGCTCAAACAAAGTTAAACGTGTACTAGTAATAACTTGTTTATAAACATATGGTAGTATTTGTGTTAACTTACATTATTTATTGTAGTATACGGTAGTAAATCTTCCCATTGCTGCAAGGACCGTTTCCTCTTCCAGGAAATAGCCCTAGGAATATCATTAGAAGTTTTTAATGCATATGCCTGCATGGCGAGAAAAACCTCAAATATCCAAATCTACAAACAATATAATAACAAACATTAGTAATTGTTAAAGAATTAATTATAATTTTGGAAACATTATATAAAAATTATTACCTTAAAGGCCCAAATAAAGCCTGACAAAGTGTATTTGAAACCATCGCCACGCAAACTTTTCCGATCATCAAAGGCAGACGATAACTTATTCCATGTAGCTCTCCATAGATACGAACCCCACGGAAACAAGTTTCATGCATTTAGGTCCTCTACCAATTTAATTAGATCATTAGGAATAGGTTGTCGAGCCTATCTGCCTAAAAAGCCAGCTTGCAAAAGTATTAGAAGGCATACTCGGACAACATCGACGTCATCCATCTGAGTAAAACCATATTTCTTATTCAATAATCTCGTCAAGTCTTCCGCGTGTAAATTCGACTTCTCCGTTGATAGCTCATGAAAAACCCGGGAAAACCATGATAGGCGGGTAATATGTCTAGTGTACCGATCTACATCATCGTGTCCGAAGCGTAGACCGGTGATTAAGCAAAACTCCTCCCGCCCAAAACACGTATACGCCGGTGGAAAATCAAACCATATCTCTTCATCACGACGTTGTATAGTCTCTGGTAGATCGCTAGTCATGGTTTGAAGAAACAGATGGGTCAACATAGCATCTCCACCCAGATGTTGTACTTTCAGCCATGGCCCGAAGCAAGTATCCTCAAATATTTTTCTTTGTGCAGGTGAAAGCTTCGACGCAATTGTTTTGGCCAGGCTTACTTTATTTCTTAAGGTCAATTGAGCCAAATAAAAGTTCTGCAAAAACAATAAACATACCAATTTAGATATACCAAAAACTACACTGTGAATATATAACAAGAACAATAAACATAAAGAGTAGTAGTTTATTCTTCAAACTTAAATTTGCAACTGTGAATTTAGTATTTGTTTTTGTTTTTTGGTTGAAGTAATGCAATTCATTCAAGTTTCAATTTGCAGAAGAAGAATAGTTTCTGAAACTTTAAATCGCAACACGAAAATGAAAATCGCAACAAGAAAATGACTATCGCAACGCGAATTTGACTATCGCAACGCGAAATGAAAATCGCAACGACAGAATCGCATTGCGATAGTCATTCTCGGTTTCAAATACTAAAATTGAAAGAAACTTGAATGGATTGCATTACTTTAACCAAAAGACAAAACAAAGACAAATACTAACCTTACATGATTAAAGACTAAACAGTTTAGCAGTATTGGCAGCAATCGAATGAATATAATAAGCAATCTAAGTGAAATGGTTAATCTATTATTGAAAACACCAGTAAACTTATCATCAATTTCAATATGAAAAACCTAATAATAATGCAAAAATTTCAAAATAAAAATAATTAAAAAAAACTAACCATCGGTGGTTGATTTGGTTGATTTTTCATTTTTGACCGTGAATGATTTCGCCGGAGATGGAGACTAATATCGTCGGAGATGGGGACTGATTTCGTCGGAGATGGGGACGGATGTCGCTTTAGAGAGTGAGAGATGAAAATGAGACTGAGTTGTGATTTAGGGTTTTAGGTTATGAGTTGCGATTACGGGATATACTGTGGACGGTTCAGTGTTCCGATATATTAATATATTCGTGTTTGGAATTTGAAAAAAAATACGCGTTGGATACGAATGGCGCTATGTAAATCGCATTGCGATAGTCAGATTTGCGTTGCGATTTACGTATTCGCATTGCGATTTACGTATTCTCATTGCGATTTACGTATTCGCATTGCGATTTACGTATTCGCATTGCGAATTAGGAAAATCGCAACGCGAATTTGGAAAATCGCAATGCGATAGTTAGAATCGCGTTGCGAATCTGGAAACTGATTTGCGATACCGGAGATCGCGTTGCGAATTATCGATCGCATTACGATTTAGTTGGTCATTTTGGTAAATCCAAAAAAAATTAGTTAAAATCATATATTATAAGACATTTTTGATCACTGAGATTATTTTCACTTAAAATAATTTCCTACTCCTCCATCCTAATCTAAATTTTCTTACTTTAAAAAGGGGGAAAATAGACAAAAAAAAAAATAACCCTAAAATCCAGATTTCAATATTGCAGATATTTTCTAAGGAAGATGGAGTTGCCGGTGATAGATCTAGCGCCTTATTTGGAGGTTGCCGCCGAAGGTGACTCGTTGCCGAAGCGAGCGAGTGGACTCACCGAGTTGTGCCGCGAGGTGAGTCGAATCCTTAAGGAAACGGGGGCTTTACTCGTTAAAGATCCGCGGTGTACGGTGGAAGATAACGATAGGTTCATTGATATGATGGAGAAGTACTTCGAGAAGCCGGACGAGTTCAAGCGCCTGCAGGAGCGTCCCTCTTTACATTATCAGGTCCGCTTTTTCCATCTTATGTCATCAGAATAACTTCTTTTTTATGCTTCATTATAGAGTTTCAAGTGTGCTTTTGTTTGACTCCAAAGAATTGTAATTTGGATGCTTACTGGAATTTGACTAGCCGCTTAGAGTTTGTGTAGAAAGTAAGTTAATGATCATTTGTAGAGTATTTGATTTCTTAGAAGTATGTGATAGGAAAGGAAAACAAATTCGATTGATATGTGGAGAAGAGAGGAAATACTTTAGAAAGGACAGTATGTTTATTGCATTGCTCATATAAGGTTTTAGCCGAACATTCAGGCTACGTTTAGGAACTTATATTTTAAAAGATGGGATTGGATTTGTTTGGTGCCTATTTAGTGGATAAGTTGAATTGCCTATAGGTATTTTGTGAATTTGAAATTTATGTTTGTATACTTTTCGAATATATAATGATCGAATTTTACTAACTTATACATAATGTATGTATTTCAGATTCAAGTTGCAAGCATAGCATCAAGCAATATAAAAATTTTAAAACTTCTTTCTTTGTGCCTTTCTTGGTGCTGTCATGTAAAATGGATAAGAATTACAAATTGGCCTAATTAGGTTCTTTTGCTTTGTTGAAAAGAAAGAAAAAGGTTTTAAAATATCCATCTAGCTAAAGGGTTCAATTTTATTTGAAATGGGAGAAATTACAAGATAAATCTTCTTAGTTTTTACCCGAATTTTTATTTAAACGGAGATTACAGGTAGGAGTAACACCAGAAGGAGTGGAAGTTCCAAGAAGCCTGGTTGATGAAGAAATGCAAGCAAAGTTGAGGGCAATGCCCAAAGAAAACCAACCATTAACTCCCAAAGGCCCTGATCCCAAGTGGCGATACATGTGGAGAGTGGGCCCTCGCCCTTCAAAGACCCGCTTTCAGGTCTCTTATTTCTCTTCTTTCCTCTCACAGGTTCAAAAATAAAGGTTTACTCTATTTTCATTTTCTTCTATTTTCTTCCCTTGCAGGAGCTTAATTCAGAACCCGTCATACCTGAAGGTTTCCCTGAATGGAAAGAGACTATGGACTCATGGGGGTACAAAATGATATCAGCGATAGAGGTGAGCTGCTTATTGGTTTTGCTTGCCTTTATATGATCCATCCTATCTTAAAACTAAAGTTACATTGTGATGTCTCTATTCTTGCTTAGGCTGTTGCTGAAATGGCGGCAATAGGGTTTGGGTTGCCAAAAGATGCATTTACTTCCCTTATGAAGCAGGTCTGTAATTTTAACCAGTTTCCGATTCAACTTCTTTTAGTACTACTTTCATGTTTGTCTTCAACTTAATGTGGTTCATTCTTGCAATATATACTATGTGACATGATATTAGAGAAATGAATATTGTGAATGATTTATTTAAAGCTTTTTTGGTCTGCAGGCTTACCCGTTGCATTTCTGTTTTTTTTTTCTAGTAAGACCCATATACCCCTACTTTTTCATGTTAAGATAAGCATATCGGTGCCATCTTGATTAAGTTCACGATATAGCCATGGTACACTTCATATCGTTTTCCGTTTTCCATTAGGAATCCTATCATTTATCTCTCAGTGCGTGTTATCTCTGTTTATAAATCATCTCATGCCATGCATCATGTTCTTTGTTCAAAATAGAGCCGTGGTACACTTCATATCGTTTTCCATTTCCATTAGGAAGCTTATCATTTATCTATCATTGAACGTGACAAGAAATCCTTCAATCTTCCAAATCCAGGGGCCGCATCTTCTAGCTCCAACAGGGAGTGACCTCAGAAGTTATGGGCAGGAGGGCACTGTTTTCGCTGGCTACCACTATGACCTTAACTTTCTAACTATCCATGGCAGAAGCAGATTCCCTGGTCTAAATATCTGGTTAAGGAATGGGCAAAAGATCGAGGTGAAGGTTCCGGTAGGATGTCTTCTAATTCAAACCGGGAAGCAGGTTAGAACACGAGCACTGATTTATTCCCTCCATTCTTTCCGCCTGTAAATTTTGAAATTTGTGGATGCTGATTTAGATAACTTCTTCCATGATTTATTAAGCATGATACATCACATTCATATAGGTATTTCATTTCCGTTCTGTCTCGTGTGCAGATAGAATGGTTGACTGCTGGCGAGTGCACTGGCGGCATGCATGAAGTTGTCGTCACAAAGAGGACAATCGAGGCTATAAAGTTAGCAACGGAGCAAAATCGTAGCCTATGGAGAGTATCCTCAACAGTAAGTGAACCGAACCATATCGAACTCATCAAGCCAGCATTTGAAAATTCAACAGTTCAGATATACATTTTCGTATTTTTCATGCAGTTGTTCGCACACATAGCTTCGGATGCCGTTTTACAGCCACTCGGACACTTTTCGAAAACACCCCTTGCTAGCAAATATCCACCGATATGCGCCGGAGAATTTGTCGAACTAGAGCTTGCAGTAATTAACCTTAAAGGAAACAAAGGAGAATCATGAAAAAAACTGGTTTCTGTTACATGACAAACCATGCATTATATATCCTTATGCAAAGTGTTCAAATAATTGTTTGCAAGAAAGGTGAGTGACATTTATGGCATATATCAAATGTCACAAATGGTAAGATAAGATATTTATTTATTCATTCTTGCAAATTATTAAGAGTTAATTGCATTACATGTTCGAATCACTCGAATTCTTATTTGATCTTTTCATTGAATTATCGACATCTTTTCACTCAGATTCTAGATTGGTTTTCTAATTAAAATATTAAAATCAGGTGTGTGATACGAGTCTATCTGGATTAACAGATTAAGGTAAAGTTTTGGGGAACTGAGAGGGCAATCAAAAACTATATATTTTAATGCATCATATTTGAATTATTCACGTAACAGATTACTAACATGTTTATAGTTTAATCTACATGCATTACGCTAAATTGACAACTAAATTATCAAAAAGATATGTTCAATTAAAATATTTTAAAGTTATGAATTAATTTTTAAAAAATTCTTTTTGAATTTGAGAGTTAATTTAAAATATATTTTTGTTAATCTATGGTATATACAAAGCAATATTCGTTTAAAGATAATTCAATCATTTAACTTGAACGTTTATACCCTTAACATTTTTTGAATTGAATTCGAAACCTCAAGGAATAATAATAATTCATTTTCTACTGTGGTCGTTTGGTTCATGCTAATTTAAAATAGAAATAATAATTTGGGGGCGTTTAATAAAATTAACCTTTTAAATAAATATACATCGAAGATTTAATTGTATTATGTCTCCAAATTATGAATTTTGTTTCAAGTTGGTCCCCAAATTTGTAAACATTCTAATTTCAAACTTAAACTATGACTTCTATTTTAAATTGCTCCTAACAGCTATGAACATTTTAAAATTAGAGAATATAACCTCAGTGACCGAAAATTCCTTATAATATACGATTTTGACCAACTTTTTTTCGATTTGCCAAAATGACCAACAAAATCGCAATGCGATCTCTAAATCGCAATGCGATCTCTAAATCGCAACGCGATCTCCAGTATCGCAAATCAGTTTCCAGATTCGCAACACGATTCTGACTATCGCAACGCGATAATACATAATCGCAACGCGATTCTAACTATCGCAACGTTGAATTTCAAATTCGCAACAGGTTTTAGTTTCGCAACACAAATGTTTTGGGTATATAAAAACGCAGCAACAACAACTCATAACCTAAATCCCTAAATCGTAACTCATTCCATCTCCATCTATCACTCTCTCCGGCGACATCTGTTCCTACATCCAACGACATCCTTCCCCATCCGACAACAGGTTTTATTTTCGCAGCTCGTTTGTTTAGTAAATTAATTTACAATAATGAAATCATCTAATGTTGATCATGTTTGGATAGATTTGTGTTTTGGAGGGTCATGGGAGAATGTTCATGGTGTTTTACAATATATGCCTTTACCCATGAATCTTCAACTAAAACTGTCATTAAAAAAGTTAACTTATGAAACTCTAATGTTACGTGTTGCAAATAAATTGAATTTAGAGCCCTTAAGTGGATTTAGGCTATCTTATCAGAGAAAAGGTAAAGTTTATTTGTTAACCAATAATGAAGATGTTGAACGATTCATTGCTTACATTAGTGTTTCACAAGATGATGTTACATTGTATGTTGTAGAACCTAGAAGTAATGAAGTTGGGGTAGCGGGTAGTAATCAACTAAGTTTTTCAACCCCAGTTTATGGTGCTCAAAATTTAATGGTTCCACCACAATTTCATCACCAAGCAAATTTTGTTTCACCACATTTCCAATACAAAACACAATCTCAAAACCCACAACCTTTCCCTAATCCAAATCCCAATCAACTTTCAGCACCAAATTTCAGTTTTTGTATTGACCAGTTAGACGATGATAAGCCAACAGAAAAAATTGTGAGTACTAGTCAGTATTCGAAATTTGATCTTGGTCAATACCCAGACTTTGATCTTGGTCAATACTCGGATTTTAATGATGTTTCAGAAGAAGAAACAGACCCTGCGTGTAATGATTTTGATATTGGTCAATACCCAAATTTTGATGATGAAACAGCCGCTGCTGAGGAAGATGTTGTTGATGATAATGAGGAGGAAGTTACGACTGTGAATGAACATCCATTCTGTAATTCATATAACTCTGAAGAAGAAAAAATCTCCGAAGAAAAGTCCCCGAAGAAAATGCCACGGGAGTATAACTGGAATATGCCAGAATTACTTCAGATACCGGAAGAAGAGTTGGTAAAAATAGCAGTTGATTGTTACACAAAAATTATTCGTATCAAGAAAGATGATTGTTTTGATACAAAGGAAGACTTGAAGATAGCTTTGTATACGAAATGTGTGGAAGATGGCTATCAACTAAAAGTTAACAAATCAAGCAAAGATCGTTTCGAAACAAGGTGTATGATTGACAAAAATTGTACGTGGCGTATGATTGCAAAGAGGATAAAAGATTGCGAAATGTTTCAAGTTAGGACTTTTATTGATAAATATACATGTTCAAAAACCCAAGTTTTTCCTCACCATAGACAGGAAAACAAAAAGGTGTTGGGTGGTTTTCTGGCTGAGTTAATGTTTTTGAATGGCAGGGTATATCGGGGACATGAAATTATGACTGACATGAATGCTCGGTTCAAGATTAGTATCTCATATTCTCAAGCTTAGAGAGCCAAATGTTATGCCTTGGAATTGTTGAGGGGGTCGCCTGAAGCATCATTTGCCCAACTGCTGGCTTACTGTCACAATTTAAAGCTGAAAAATCATGGGTCGGTAACTCATATCAAAACAGATAGAGATGGACGCTTTGAGCTGCTGTTTATCGCCATTGGTGCTACGGTTAGTAAATCAATATAATTTTGTTGACTCATTTTTGTTAGTTACATGTATTTCACATTTAAATGATTATATTTCTTGTGTATATGATTTTGTAGATTCGTTCGTTTATTACTTGCATGCCCTCAGTTATTATAGTTGACGGAGCACATTTAAAAGGTCGATACTTTGGAGTAAACTTAGTAGCAGTAGCCATGGATGCTAACAATGGGATACTGCTAATAGCTTACGGGGTTGGCAAATCTGAAACCTCTGATTCATGGACATGGTTTATGGGGCATCTTAGGGATTGCATAGGTCCTATTAGCAATCTGACAATCATATCCGATAGGGCAAACTCAATTGACAACGCTGTTAGAAGATGTTTCTTAGATGTTTTTCATGGACTTTGTGGTGTTCATTTGTATAGAAATCTAAAATCAAGGTCTGCTAGTATAAAAAAATCACAAATGGACATACTGGAAGGCTGTAAAAGCTTATCGGGAAGTGGATTTTAATAAGCATATAAATTGTTTAAGACGTTTTTTGCCTCAGTGTGCTCAAACACTAGAAGATGTCGGGTTTGAAAGATGGTCAAGAGTACATCAACTTGGAGCAAGATATGGTTTCATGACGTCTAATAGTGCAAAATCAATCAACGCTCTAAGTCGTCATTCCCGGAAATTACCCATTACTATGTTAATGGAGTTTTTTCGAGCCTCTATTCAATAGTGGTACTACAAGAAAAGAAACCATGCATGTATTATTTCTTTAAATTCGTAACTTATCATATATTTTACTAAGTATTATTTATTTAAATTTACAGGAATATTGGAGCATCGTGTTACACCATGGACTGAAAAAAAGATAACGAAACGTGTTGTGAAGTCAACGTCATGGAGAGTTGAACCATGTTCAAACACTTTGTTTGAAGTACTGGATAATAACTTAAATGGGATTGTCGATCTAAATGCAAAGACGTGTAGTTGTATGAAATGGCAAACATCTGGTTATCCGTGTGGCTATGTTATAAAAGTTGCTCTTCATCTAAACCAAGATGATTCAAGCGCATACGCTATGAATTGCTACACTACAGAAGTATATCGACAGACTTATGCCGAGATTATCTACCCTATTCCACATCTTTCTGAATGGGACATACCAGATGACTTACAAACAGTTTTGCCACCAGCCATGGACAAAAGGCTACCTGGCCGACCAAAAAGTCACGATCGTATACCGTCTAAGGGTGAAGAGAAGAAGAGATCGACATGTAGTCGGTGCAAGGAAAGTGGTCATACAAGGTTGACATGTGGATCACCAGTTCCATCACAATCATCTTTTCCTCTACCAAAATATGGATCCTCATCAAAATCCAAAGCTCATATTGTGTCAAGAAAAAGGCAATCAAAATCGCAATCAAAATCAAAATCCCAATCACAACCGGCTTCACCTTTTGGGACTATTAACTTAGGTGATTTTTAAATGCAAACGTTGTGTTATGTGTAAACTTTTAACATTTTCAGTTAGGCATGTATTAGTAACTTGAGTTTGAACATTGCTTTGATATGTTCAGTTGTTATCACTTATTACACATTCATTTGAATATCGCAACGCGAATTTGACTATTATGTGTATTTTATGTGTAAACTTTTAACATTTTCAGTTAGGCATGTATTAGTAACTTGAGTTTGAACATTGCTATGATATGTTCAGTTGTTATCACTTATTACACATTCATTTGAATATCGCAATGCGAATTTGACTATCGCAACGTGAATTTGACTATCGCAACGCGAATTTAACTATCGCAACGCGAATTTGACTATCGCAACGTGAATTTGATTATCGCAACGGGAATTTGACTATTACAACGAGAAAATCGCAAAGCGTTTCGCATTGCGATTTTGAGTTTAGCGTTGTGATTTTGAGTTTAGCGTTGCGAAAGTGTACCTTCAACAGGTCTTTTGCCTTCAATATGATGCATATTGAAATCAACAAATTAACTTTTACATTTCAACCAATTAAATAAGCACAAATAAGAAATATTTACACATCAATTAAACAAATCAACTTTTACAAATCAATTAAACAAGCACAAATAAGAATTATTTACACATCAATTAAACAAATCAGACTTTTAAGAATCAATTAAACAATAAAAAAAGTGTACCCCAGACAGTTGTTTATGCACCCATACATCAATTTCACGCAGCTCACTTCAGGATTAACCTGTAGAAACCAAACATTTACTCAAACAACACTTTCTACACATCTAAAACCAACAAACAACAAATTATTATTAAATTCAAGGTACTTAACAACACTTGCATTTGACTTACAAATTGTTTATGGACACTTTCATAATGCGGATGCAGATAGGCAGTGTCTCGCATATATCGCTCTAGCCATAAAATGCCGAAACCACAAGCCTATTGCACCTCTATCTCTATCGGTGGGAGGTAGAAACTGTGTACTTCCTGTCATCAAACGCTCCAAGCACATGCATACGAGAGGACCACAATCCCCTCTGGCTTCCTGCGTTTGTTGTGGCGCGGTCTCGTCTCTGATAACTGTAACATTGAACTTCTTTAGCTTCTTGTTTCCAGAATAAGTCCAATAATTAATCGCATCCAAGAATTTAGCCAAATGAGAGCTCCATCTCTTAATAATATCTCTCAAATCAGATAATGATATGTAATTTATCATGCTGTCATATACTATTGTCTTCAGGGATGGGAGCTGAAGCTCGACGAGAAGCCAATGAGAACGTTCCAAAACAGGGATAAACACCTGCAATCATAAGTAATAATTCAAATTGCGCACTTATTTATGAACACCTTTAAAATATTTAAAAAATAAATACTAACCTTATCGACCTCCCACCATGCAGGATAAAGTTTAGCTTGTCCATTAGCCAACACATATGATTCCTGTCGTTGATTCTTCAAGTGAACTATGTGAAAAGACGTCGGCATAATTGTATATCGCGTATTTTTTATTTTTCCTCAATTTCCTTACTATTAGAAGACGTGACACTCATGCATCAATATGATGTTTTACAAAAAAAGACATATATTAGTGAATTACATAAATTTTAAAAAAATTAATCAAAATGAAATATAAGAAGAAATATAAGACTTAACCCCCCATCGAAATAGCCTTTGTCTTCAACCCCTAATAACACACCCCACCAAGACCGATCAATCAACAAATGCATATCATCGCTGAGTTTGTATATGTCAGCGTAACACCCCTGGCTCCGCTCATGTAGATAAAAATCAACTGCGGTTTTAGCCCAAAGGGTATTATCCAGAATTGTTTCCGGTAGTTGTCTCCTCTCCACTTCATCTGCCGGAATGGTACTGGTCGGTAACTCATACGAAAGCCAACAATCATCCATCATGTCCGGCACGTGAGGGGGTTTCTCAATAATTCAATATATTACGCCATATGAATCGGGCTCTTGAATGGTGGGAGGGACCTCTTCAACGATGACAGGGGCCTCTTGAACGATGGGAGGGAACTCTTGAGGGATGATAGGGGCCTCTTGAACGATAGGAGAGGCCTCTTGAACGATGACAGTTGAGTCGGGCTTCTTCTTACGGAGTCTTCGCACTATTGGGGTGAACGGAGACGTAATGGCACGTGCACGTCGTCTGATGCGTGAACCCCATCGTGCAAGAAAAACTCGACGTAAAGCATCCACCTTATCAGGCCGCTAAAAATAAATTAATACATAAATCAGTAAATAAACAGTGAAACCAAAGACAAATATGTTTCAAACTTGCACGGTATTAACCCAAGTCATTATTCTACCATAGTTCACAAAATGTATCAGATAACATTCCGAAAGTAAGCACTTATATAAATATATATAAACATTTAAAAGGACAACATATAGGTTTAGTGCATGTTCAAGGACAACATAAAGAGTAGTAGTTTATTCTTGAAACTTAAATTTGCAACACTGTGAAGTTAGTATTTGTCTTTGTCTTTTGGTTGAAGTAATGCAATCCATTCAAGTTTCAATTTGCAGAAGAAGAATAGTTTCTGAAACTTAAAATCGTAACACGAAACTTAAAATCGCAACGCGAAAATGACTATCGCAATGCGAATTTGGCTACCGCAACGGGATAATCGCAATGCGAAATAAAAATCGCAACGCGAAACTAAATTCGCATTGCGATTTTCATTTTCGCATTACGATTTTTACGTTGCGATTTTTATTTTGCATTGCGATTATCCCGTTGCGATAGTCAAATTCGCGCTGCAATTTTTAAGTTTTGTGTTGCGACTATTCTTCTTCTGCAAATTGAAACTTGAATGGATTGAATTACTTCAACCAAAAGACAAAACAAAGACAAATACTAACTTTACAGGGTTATTTTAGAACTGTTTAGCAGTATTGGCAGCAACCGAATGAATTTACTAAACAATCTAAGTGAAATGGTTAATCTAAGTGAAATTACGAGTAAATCAAGTTAAATATATATGAAAAATCTTAAACTTACCTCGTTGCATAGAGTATAAACCTCATTCTGCAATGATGCTACCATCTCACATAGAGCCGCTACCTCACCACGTAAAGTAGATACCTCGTCACGCCATGCACCATTGTCATCGCGTAAAGTACCGACCTCCTCACGCAAGGCATTGAACTCATCACGTAACTCCCCTAAATCATCCCGTGGAGGTGGAGGTATAGAACAGGGAGATAAATGCCGTGGCATTTTTTTCGGTCGCCTATCATGAGGTGATGGTGGAGAAGAGGCTCGATGATGTGACGGAATAGGTGATGGCTCTCGTTGTAGAGGTATATAGTGTGGTCGATCAGGTGATGGCTCTGGGTGAGGTGATGGCTCTCGAAGTGGAGGCTGCTCATCATTCGTGCCATCAAAAAAACGCTTACTAGTTTGCCACCAATCAGTGGCAAGCTCAGCCTCTGTAATAGAGTGTTGGCCTCCTAACAATATAAAAGCTCAAACAAAGTTAAACGTGTACTAGTAATAACTTGTTTATATATGGTAGTATTTGTGTTAACTTACATCATTTATTGTCGTATACCGTAGTAACTCTTCCTAAATCAACAGCCGTCGTTTCCTCTTCCAGGAAATAGCTCTAGGAATATCATTTGAAGTTTTTAATGCATATGTCTGCATGTCGGGAAAAGCCTCAAATATCCAAATCTACAAAAACAATATAATACACAAACATTACTAATTGTTAAATAATTAATTATAATTTTGGAAACATTATATAAAAATTCTTTCCTTAAAAGCCCACATAAAGCCTGACAAAGTGTATTTGGAACCATCGCCACGCAAACTTTTGCGGTCATCAAAGGCAGACGACAACTTATTCCAGGTAGCTTTCCATAGATACAAACCCCACGGAAAAGGTTCCATGCATTTAGGTCTTCTACCAATAATATTAAGTCCTTAGGAATAGGTTATCTGGACTCTCTGCCTAAAAAGCCGGCATGCAAAAGTACTAAAATGCATACTCGAACAACATCGACATCATCCATCTGAGTAAAACCATCTTTCTTATTCAATAATCTCGTCAAGTCGTCGACGTGTAAATTCGGCTTCTCCATTGACAGCTCAGGAAAAACCCGGGATAACCATGATGGGTGGGTAATATGACTAGTGTATCGACCTACATCATCGTGTCCGAAGCGTAGACCAGTGATTAAGCAAAACTCCTCCCGCCCAAAACACGTATACGCCGGTGGAAAATGAAACCATATCTCTTCATTACCACATTTTATACTCTCGGGTAGATCGCTAGTCATAGTCTGAAGCTACAAATGGGTCAACATAGCATCTCCACTCGGATGTTGTACTTTCAGCCATGACCCGAAGCAAGTATCCTCATACAATTTTCTTTGTACAGGTGAAAGCTTCGACGCAATTGTAGTGACTATGCTTATTTTATTCCTTAAGGTCAATTGAGCCGAAAAAAAGTTCTACAAAAACAATAAACATACCAAGTTAGATTAAAAACTACAATGTGAAGATATACCAAAAACAATAATAAACATAAAGAGTAGTAGTAGTTTATTCTTTAAACTTAAATTTGCAACACTGTGAATTTCGTATTTGTCTTTGTTTTTTGGTTGAAGTAATGCAATTCATTCAAGTTTCAATTTGCAGAAGAATAATATTTTCTGAAACTTAAAATCGCAACACGAAAATGAAAATCGCAACACGAAAATGACTATCGCAACGTGAATTTGACTATCGCAACGCGAAATGAAAATCGCAACGCGAATTTGACTATCGTTGCGATTTTCATTTCGCGTTGCGATCCTCGGTTTCAAATAGTCATTGTCTAAAATTGAAACTTGAATGAATTGCATTACTTCAACCAAAAGACAAAACAAAGACAAATACTAACTTTACAGGGTTAAAGACTAAACAGTTTATCAGTATTGACAGCAATCGAATGAATTTAATAAGCAATCTAAGTGAAATGGTTAATCTATTATTGAAATTACCAGTAAACTTATCATCAATTTCAATATGAAAAATATAATAATAATGCAAAAATTTCAAAATAAAAATAATTAAAAAAACTAACCCTCGGTGGTTGATTTTCCATTTCTGATTGTGAATGATTGTGAGGGTGGCTCTGAGAGATGGAGATAGATGGATTTCGTCGGAGATGGGGATGGATTTCGTCGGAGATGGGGACGGATGTTGCCGTAGAGAGTGAGAATGGAGATGGGATTGAGTTGTGATTTAGGGTTTTAGGTTAAGAGTTACGATTATGTATTATCGCGTTACGATAGTCAGAATCGCGTTGCTATTTACATATTCGCATTACGATAGTCAAAATCGCGTTACGAATCTAGAAACTGATTTGCGATACTGGAGATCGCGTTGCGATTTAGAGATCGCATTGCGATTTTGTTGGTCATTTTGGCAAATCGAAAAAAAGTTGGTCAAAATCGTATATTATAAGGAATTTTCGGTCACTGAGGTTATTTTCTCTTAAAATTATCCCTAAGTTAAGGTCCTTATTTTGAATCGGTCCTGAAATTTATGTTGGAAAAGAAAAGATACAAATTTTGATAATCGGATAATTGATATTCATTAAGTACTTAATGATTAGATGATCTTACAAATCAGGCCCTGAATCTCTTAACTTTCACAATCACAAATCACTCAACTCTCTCAACATTCTATTCTTACCCTTCTTCTAATTCTAATTCCAATTCTAATCTAATCTAAGAATCTATTAGTCCTTCAACGCATTGCATTTCAATTACAATTTACAAATGACCAACACCATCTTCAGTTTTGGCTTGAGCAGCTGCACTTTGCTTTGTTATCCCTCAATGTCTGCAACAATAAAAATCATGGACAATACATTATAATGTCGAAATTATAAGAATTTACGACTCACACATATTCTAAAATTTCGTCCTACAATAACCCTAATTCATATTATTTATTTACAAGATTAACTACTTGATGAGAAGAAAAAAAATCCTAATATTAGAAAAGAAATTATCCATATAAACTCTTACTTTCAGCCCAAAGCTAACGAAAGAAGTATAATCTTACACGGCAAGATCCGACCCTAACATATTCTTCTTCTATATTTTAGGGTAAATTAAGTTTTTAGTACATGTACTATCAGTTTTAGTCTATTTTAGTATCTAAACTTTCATTTTTTTCAAAACCATACCTAAAGTTTAGTTTTTTGTTTCATTTTAGTACCCATTCAAAATTTAATGTTAAATTTTGAAAATAAATTGGAAGTTTAGGTGCTAAAACAGACCAAAACTGATAGTTCATGTGCTAAACGCGTTAAGTTTTTAACGGTAGGTACTAAAATGAAACAAAAACTAAACTTTAGGTATGGTTTTGAAAACATTTACCCTATATTTTGTTACAGCATAATACATACCTTGACCTGCCTTTGTAGATCTTTGATATACTCCACTGCCATATCCAACATATCTGCAGTGCTCGTTTGCTGCAGCCCGAAAAGAACACGAACATGAGTAACCTAGTCTAACAATCAAGTGATCGAGAGAGATTGGTTTCGATAAACTACCTTGTCGATGTTCGGGAACAGACCTTGAAGCTTCCTCATTCGTTCGCTAATCCGTGTCCTTCTCACCTGAAGATTCGCATATAAACGGAATTAAAAGACCGACCGGAACATGAATTACGATAAATGAATCGACGGAATCGAAACGTATGTATATACCCTCTCGGCGATGCTGCGTGGGTGAGTGGCGCAACCTCTTTTCGCTCGAATCTTACAAGGGACCGATCCTTGAAACTGCCAGAACCTCTCTACTGCATCCATCTCATAAGTCTTAGGCAAACTCAAATGGTGAGTTAAACCAGCAGAGCAGTGTCTGCCATCCTGGTTCTGATTTTAAATTCACATGTTATTATCGAACAAAGCACGTATTCATCTACAAAATCAGAGAAAAACTGAACAATGAATTGAAAATTGCTGGTTTTTGCATTGTACCTGTGTTTGTAATTTGCTTGGACCACAAGAAAAGTCACCACCATCACATTCTCTAGCTCTTTTCAAGCCACTAAGTGAAGCATTGTTCCTTGAATCAGTCACCAAGTCGGGGATGAATTGCCCGTTGCTCCGATTTCCACCGTTACTATCACCTAAGCTTTGGTTCTCGACTCGAGCTATTCGAGGCATCGTCTTTGAATATGAAGATGGCATAGAGGAGAAGCTTATATGATTGTCACCATTGGTACCATTACAAGCCCTCAACCCTATCAGCATTGACAAGTGCATAGCTTGAGTTATAAGTAATCATAACATGTCAAAAAGTGTACTACCTTGCCGATCGACCGGCAAATTTCTCAAAACAAACAAATGATCATAGAAAGGGGGGAAGTACCATCATCTAGGCATTGGTTGGAGAAAAACCGAGCAGGAGAGCTACTTTGCCGAACGAGATCCGAGCCATTTCCATCGCCCTCTTCCATCGAATTCACCAACCCGACATCGATACCAACACCCTGCATCGGTAGGCTCTGAATCTGATATTCTTCCTTCACAGATTTCTCTTCATATTCTTGCATATCAGATGAAACGTTATCAGACAACATGAAGAATGATTCCGTTTCGGGACCCGAAGAAGATCGAAAACCCCCGAATACATCGAATCCGGTAGTACCGCCTCCGATAACACCACTGGCATGGTTCTCGAGCAACGGCGTCGGTGCCGACCGGTACATCATCAGACCGCAACTCTGCTGCTGATGGTGACTTTGTTGAAGATAGTAATGATCAGCCATCTCCATCAGCTTCTTCCCTGGAAACCATACATCAATGATCATTCAATTACAACCCCATATACATACATACATACATACATATACACACATACATATATGATATACCTGAGTTACTGCAATAAGATTCCAATATGTATATATATAGATATATATAAGAACAGATTCTTTGATGAAACTTGAAGAAAACTGTGTTGTTTGGGGCAAGCTCAGATGTGGAGATTTATATAGCAGACAATGGCAACGAACGATGATGTATTAGAAAGGGTTCAGGGTTTGACTAAACGAACCCCGAATTGGCAGTTGAAATTTCACATGCTTGTGGATCCGGACAACCTTGTTTTGTGGATGATGAATTGACAGATAGATAATTGCAGGGGATGTCCCTAAATTATGAAATCTTATTTTAAAAGGTAAAGTACACAAATGGTCTCCCGGCTATAAGATACTATTTTATTAGGTCTCTCTACTATTAAAAGTTACAAAATGGTCCTTTGGCTATAGAGTATTACTTTGTTAAGTCTCTCTACTATTAAAAGTTATGAAAGGTCACTCGACTATTTATTATGTCCTAAACTCGTCCCTTTTCATTAAAAAATTGGCGATTGTCTAAGTTGAATGCCAACATGATGCCTAACATATGATAGTCGTTTGAGATTCTGAGATCATATCACATCTAGTAGATTAACGTTTAGCTTATAATACTGTCAATTTTTTAACAAAAAATACACGTTTAAAATCTAATGAATAGTCAAGTTATCATTTTATAATTTTTTACAACACATCAACGCTCTAAACGAACCCTGAATTTGCAGTTGAAATCCCCCATGCTTGTGAATCCGGACAACCCTGTTTTGTGGATGATGATTGACAGATAAATAATTGCTTGGGATATCCTTATATTATGACTTTTATTTTAAATTAATCTCTAAATTTTAAAAGATTATTTATTTGTTCCCAAACTATAATCATCATTCTAAATTGATCTTTAGACATTAAAATATTCCATATTAATTCTTAAACTATCGTTATCATTTTATTTTGATCCTAACATACTTTTTAAAATCATACATAACATTATATTTTAGTTTCATTTTGGTTACTCATTGTTAAAAAATTAAGAGAACTGTTGACGTGACATTTAAAAAAAATCAATGATGATGTGGCATTGCCTTATGAACCTACGGTGACACAACCAATATCACTGCTAATTTTTTAACGATGGGTGATCAAAATAAAATAAAAATGTAACATCATGTATGATTGTGAAATAAAAAATAACCGGATAACCAAAACGGAACAAAAGCAATAGTTGAGATGCTAAACATGTAGTTTACCCTAAAAATAAATGTATCCATGTGTTCATATGAACAAAAATATAATATATATATATATATATATATATTATTAACGGAAAATAAAAGTGTATGAAGACAACCTTATCCAGACATATGAAGCGTGTGAAAATGTCTTTTAAGGTAGACACTGCACATTGGGACAAGGGTTTTGTTTTATGAGAGTCTAATTATATCTCTAGTCCTTGTAGTATATTAACTTTTATGTTTTAGTCCCTTTCTTTTTGTCCAGCAATTTAGCACTTTTGCTTGTCTATTTTAAAATAGAGTCCGATTGCTAACATTGTTAATTGGTTACGGAAAAATACAATAAAACCTCTATAAATTGATAATATTTATGATCACGTAATTTTATTAATTTAAAGATATGTAAATTAATCGATAAATTAATAATATATTAATATAAATATATTTTTTTGGATTCAACGAACTTATATTATTGTTGAATAAAACATATACATTGTATTTGACTATGATGTTTGTATATAATGTGACTAATTAAATATAATACATATCCCTAAAAAACTAAAGTTCATTGTAATACGTAGTACTAATTAAAACTTAATGCAAGTTCATGTATGATAAGGAAATCAACCACTATATAAATAACATAAACATTCTTAATTAATTAATCCAAATCAAAATCAACGATAGAATCATATTTTATTAAGTTGTCTTAGTTATATTTGTAGTTGGATAAAGTATACAAATGGTCCCCTGACTATAAGGTACTACTTTATTAAGTCCTTCAACTATTAAAAATTATAACAAAATGGTCATCTGACTATAGAGTGTTGCTTTATTAAGTCCTTCGACTATCAAAAGTTACAAAATGGTCACCCGACTATTCATTATATTTCAAACTCGTCCTTTTCTGTTAAAAATTTTATGGTTGTCCAAGTTAGACGTTAACATGATGACTGAGATGTGATAATTATTTGAGATTCTGAGATCATATTTTATCATATCACAATTAGTGAGTTAACATCCATCTCATAATACTGTCAATTTTTAACAGAAATGATGGGTTTAGAACATAATGAATAGTCAGGTGATCATTTTGTAACTTTTGATAGTAGAGGGACTCAACAAAGCACACTATAATTGAAGGACTATTTTGTAATTTTTAATAGTCGAGGGAATTAATAAAGTAGTACCCTACAGTCGGGAGACTATTCACGTGCTTTACCATTTGTAATTTTATAGAATTATTAATTTATAATATTAAAAGAACCATGAATTTATATAAGGGTCTCTAGAAAATTATTATCTTATTAATTTATCAAAGTTATTAACTTAGACCTTTTACCCGATCGAAAAAATTATTATTTTAAAAATATTATTAATTTATAAAATATTAATTTGTAGAAATTCAACTATATAAGTCTGTGTTATCAATCAGACTTTAATTTTCAAATCAAACGAATACAAATTAATGAAAAATAGCATGTGAACTAACTTTTAAAAGACTGAAAGTTACAAGGGACTAAAGGCATATTTAATCCTTTAATGAGCCAAAGGTGCTCTTTGAGTCAATGGAAGTGGCGGGTAATATCAATTCTTAATCCTCCAACTCAAACACCCCATGTCGGTATAAAATAAAGTAATAATAAATATAAGGGTAATTTGTTTAGTATCTAAACTATCAGTTTTTGTCTGTTTTAATACTTAAACTTTTAATTTTTTCAAAATCTTACCTAAAGTTTAGTTTTTGTTTCGTTATATAGTACCATGTTCAAAATTTATTGTTAATTTTTAATTTTTTTTTTTAAAGTTTAGGTATTAAAACAGACCAAAATTAATAGTTTAGGTACTATACATGTTATTTTTTTAAAGGCATGGTACTAAAGTGAAATAAAAACTAAACTTTAGATATGATTTTGAAAAAATTTAAAAGTTTAGATACTAAAACATATCAAAATTAATAGTTTAAGTACTTAATGTGAAATTTACCCTAAATATAATTTAAATCCACACTTTTTAATTTGATCTGATTAGATAGGATTATATTTTTATTTAAAATTATTAAAGTCGAACTAAGTCAAGATCGAATTTGGATAAAAATTATCGTATCTCAATATAATTATAAAAATATCTTTTATAATTTTGTAATTAGTTTTTATAATATATTTAGGTTTTTAAAATCAAGTCGGGTCAAAAAATTTTGTTAAAAATTAATGGGTTGGTCAAAGTCTAATACATATTTAGATACTCGTTTTTGTCCGAATTATTATTAATATTTAATATTATTAGTGTTATTATTATTATTATTATTATTATTTATATCATTATTATTATTATTATTATTTATTATTATTATTTATGCTTTTATATTAATTTTACAGGCCCAAAAACAAAAAAAAATACATTGAAACTCAAGTGAAGTCAAAGCCCGTACCAAGCGGCCCAACGTTACAACCCATTCAGCAGGCCCAAGGCAAGCCCACAATGCAAACTAGGTTTTAAAACTATCCTCCAGTCGCCACCCTATCACAACCGTTGAATCAGATATGATCCAACGGCCCAGATTAACCCAAGCTAGGGTTTTAACCCTAATCAACAACCGCCTCCACGCGCCTAGACCGCTGCCACGTGCCCAATCCCCTTCGCGCGTCAGCCACACCACCCGGTAAAGCTTTTGCCCGTGACTTCTCACCTTCCTGAGGTCTATCATCGCAGCCGAAAAATCCGCCGGTCACCACGAAAGCAAACAAACAAGCCTCGAGTAAAATATTTTACCCCGGCCTTTTGTTCACGTCACCTCAGCATCTTCGCACATCCTTTGAAGTTGTTCGCTTCTTGGTCAGTGTTCCCGAAACTGAAAATGGAAAGAAGACAAGAAAAAATAGTAGTTTACTTTTTTCCACTCACATGTAACACAAAAAAAGGGAGGAGAGATCTACATCTATTTGAAGAGAATCGAGAGGAACGAAAAAGAAAAAGAGGAACGAAAATGAAAAAGAGGAACCATCAACACATACAACAACAAAAAATGAGAAAAGAAAGGGGCTTTTGGTTTTCAAAAAAGGAGAGGAAGAAAGAGCCACCGGGGACGAGAAAACAAAAAGTAAAAAAATGAGGAGTCTTACCCACGTCCACCGAAGTCTCGCTTGTCGTCAGAAAGGCCAAACGTCGTTGATAGGTGGAGTTTTGCTGAAGGTACATCCCTAGATCTAGAATGACCCGTTCGTTTTTAAGGGAAAAGGGGTTTAGATTCATTTTTAGGGAAGGTTGAGGGTTGTTTTGGGGTAACTTTTTAGGCCGCCGACTGTTGTGTGTGGCGACGGAGGACTCTGGCGAGCGGTGGTCGGAGGCTGTCGGCCTCCCCCTCAGCGAGGGAGGGAAGAGATAAGCTAGAGAGAAAATGATTTCTCTCTTTTACAGAGAGAAGGAAAAATGAAAAAAAATGAGAAAGTTTGGCCATTTTCGGCCATGGCTTGGGTATATATACCCATGCCAAAACGAAACTGTTTTGAGGAGGGGATTTATGTGTTTTGGGCGCATGGGCAAACCCCTTCCTCAATCTTTTTATATTTGTAACATTTCGATTTAGTCACTAAATGAAGTTGCAATTCTTTTCATTTCGAGCATTTTATTTTACCAGTATCTTGTTTTAGTCCCTCTACACTAGTTATGTTGTTTTTATGTTTATTTTAGTTTGAGTACCTTATTTTAACATTTTTCATTTTAATCTTGAATATTGATTGTGGTTAAATTATGATTCCAGTCCCTAGCTTGCGTGTTGTTTTTGTTTATGGACATGATTTTTTTCTTGTTTTACAATTTAATCCTCAAGTTTAATTTTTTTTAATTATGAATAGTGTTATTGGTTTATTTACGATTCTAATGCCTAGTTTGTATAATATT